AAGAGGTTGAGCTCCCTCCATGAACCTTCTATAAGATCTTCTAGACAAGCTCTTGGACCCTCGCCAGGGATGTCTGGCTGACTCCCAACTCCATGACAAGGATCATCTTTGACGTGAGACTCTGCCTGTTGCTTTCCTGGGCCCACTTATGGGGCCAGTTCAGTTTGTGAATATATATATTCACTGTGTTGATCGTAAGTATTTGCTAGTGGTGAATTTTGTGTTATTTCTGGTAACATTAACAGAGTATTTCTGGTAACATTAACAGAGCAGAGAAGTAGCCTCCATGTCCTTGTGTATTACAGAATCCCTGCAAACCCATGGTCATGATCTCCTACTCCCGCAGGCCAGATAACCTTTCGGGTTGTAACAACTCCCTCTAATCTCCTCCACAGCTCCATTTCTGCATCCCAGAGCCCCAGAGCCGGGCTTGCTTTTCCTTGCAACTGCATCACACAAATCAAATTCACTTCCCAGCCCATTCCAAACTCTGTTCCTGCAGCTTAACCAGTCATTCCCTGCCTTCTAGGAAGCAGAGATCCACTCCCACAGCCGAGTAAGTGTAGTGCTTGGCACTCACCTCTGCAGAGTTTAACCATCGTCAGTTTGGAGCCAAATCCCCAAGGATTTCCTCTCCTCCTGAAGTTCCTGCATCTCCTTCCCACCCTACACAGATCTTATGGTCCTTTCTGTCCCACAACCCATGCAGCCATCTTCCTCTGCTGGGGAAGGAGACTGAGGTACTTTGCATATTTTCAGACACCAGTAAATGTATTTGTGTTACAGGAGAAGAGAGAATCTGCTCTTCATGTAATGTCATCCTGCCTATCACCATATACAGTGCCCCTGATTTTAATGTTCCTGTTATCAGGCAGTAAAATGAACACTGATTATCTTCAGAGTTTGCCCCCTTCATGTACAAGACCCATCAAGGGAAATATATACAGAATAAATGGCAAAGGATATGCAAGTACTACTTGCTTCATAAATCTATTTGTGAGTTGTGAAAAGTCATCAATCACTAAGGCCTCAATATATTTTCCTCAAAGAGGATCATAAATCAAATCAGAAGTTTTCTGCAGATGTCTGGATTTCTTATCTAGTTGCTACACCTGAAGGAGCTGGAGAGGCTGATGTTACCGCTCCAAATGTTTGGGCACTTTCTTGAATAGGTCCAGAAAACTGGATAATTATTAGTATCTTTTAAAAATATCACAACTACCACACTGCAAACCACCTTTTGAATCTCTACGTTTATCTAGTGGCAGAATTTCAGTATTACACAGGTGAGTATCTTCACTACTGAGAGGATACGCACCTTAAAACAACAGCTTAACTGCACAATTAATTCTACATGTAAAAAGGTGATGCCAGTGAGTGCTGTGCCATTCCTGTTGCAGTGAATATAATAGATCTAAAGTATCTGCTCTGCTTCACTGATAATTAGTGTAAGTAGGGCCATTACAAATTCATGAATCAGGTGCCCTGACTCCATATATGACCTATCAAAGGCAGTTTAAACTGACTTCACCATCTAACCCAACATCGTAACACAGACGTGTCACCATGTAGTATTTCCTAAGTATCCAGCCACATTTTTGTTTTTCTGGGAGACTGCTATTAAGCAGATGTTTAGTGCCCTTGGCCAGAAGCCCTATACAACCTTATGAGAATTCCCAAGAAGATCGTGAAGGATATTTGTGAGGGACGAACAGCCAGTGTATCTAACGCACAGAATCACAGACTGGCTGAGGTTGGCAGGGATCTCTGGAGGTCATCTGGTCCAACACCCCTGCTCCAGCAGAGATGGTTGCCCAGGACCATGCCCAGATGGCTTTTGAATGTCTCCAAGGATGGAGACAGCACAACCTCCCTGGGCAACCTGTGCTCAGTCACCCCTATAGTGAAAAGGTGCTTCCTAACGTTCAGAGGGAACCTGCTGTGTTTCAGTTTGTGCCCATGGCTTCTGGTCCTGTTACTGGCACCATTGAAAAGAGCCTGGATACAACCTCTTTGCATGCTCTCCTTCAGGTATTTCTGTACATTGATGAGATTCCCTTCTCTTGCCTCTGGTCAGCCTTCTCTTATGCAGGCTGAACAGCCCCAGCTCTCTGTCTTTGCTCACAACAGAGATGCTCCAGTCCCTTCGTGGTCCTTTGGTGGAAAACTTATAAAGCAATAGTCACCTGAAGCCATTAGAATGAATGTGTTTAAAACTGCACATGCTCATTGTGTGAAGGTTTATCCCATAAGAAGAGGAAATTACTTGTTCATCCAGAGAACAGGAAAGCCTATAAAACAGCAGGGTATGTACTACTCACAGAATAGTTTGCACAGCAGATTAACTTATTACATTTGCAATCTAGTTTCTCTTGGAATGAGATTAGAAAAGGTAGAGATTTTCACCAGTGGGACTCAGACAGCAGGACAGCATCCCTAGTGCAAGCATGCCCCTGCAGTACAGCATCCTGGAGCACACTCATGTTTTTTTTCTCAGCAGTGCCAACATTCTTGTCTACTGTCTCCTTGCTAGTTTCTTTGGTGCCTTCCGCTTCCTTTCACACACCCACCACCCATGTGGCCAGTGTGTGCTGCACATTCAGGTCACTCTCATACATTCCTTCCCCCACCTCTTCTATGCAGGAAGGTCTTTCCAAATAAGTGTAAGAAACAATAAGGTTCACACCAGCTTTAGTGATATTTGAAGCATCTTGACAAAAGGATTAAAAGCCAGAAACACCAGGATTCTTTTACCATCCACAAAAAAATACCAAAAAACAATCTGTATTTTCATGAATTCTTATTTTAGAGATTGCATGGCATGGACACAGAATCATAGAACAGTTAGGGTTGGAAAGGACCTTAAGATCACCTAGTTCCAACCCCCCCTGCCATGGGCAGGGACACCTCACCCCCATGTCGCCCAAGGCTCTGTCCAACCTGGGACTGAACACTTCTTAGGGCAACCTGTTCCAGTGCCTCACCACTCTCATGGTAAAGAACTTCCTTATATCTAATCTGAACTTCACCTGTTTAAGTTTAAAGAAGTTCATGTGCAAGTCTTACCGCAGAGCTATGATTCGCAGTAGCAGTTCAAAAATTATCACTTCCATTTTATTATACGATGTTCCTCCCAATACAGTCAATGATGACTGAAGCCAAATCTCAGATTTGTGAGAGCAAAAGAAAAAACAAGCCGATTGCCAAGTGTCTGGCACCACCTCTGCTCTGTCTGCTCTGACCACAGATGACTGAATGCAAATTTTCAGAGCTCTCCAAAACTCAGAGGCACTCTGGACAGCACTGTGACATCAGATGTAAATAATAAGGTTCACAAAGCAGTGCAGACATGTACCACCGACTTACTCAGCTAGGCTCCCTTTATAGTCAACAAAGGACATGATCCACATCATCCTGAAGTACATTTCAACTGTCAGATAAATGACACTCTAAAATTATTTACCTCATTAAGCATCATCTCAGATACTCCACTATAAACATCCGAAGTTAGATTAAATGAATCCCATCCACAGTATCTGTGAGAAACACTCAGTTTTCTGCAATTTGCTAAAGGACTTCTATCTGCCTGATTTCACCATGACATCTCCTGTCAGTGGTAAACCACTGTGATTTATTTAACATTACAACACTCGCATTGGAAAAGCAATGCAAAAAACAAATGGTGCGGAAAGTATCAGCAAATCTCACTAATTACTTGTCTTCTGCATGGATTTTAGAAATCACACCACACTCTTTGGTTTTATTTTCTGAGCCCTAAACTGGCAATGATCCCACAAGCCTGGCTCACTCTCCAGTGCGCTATTTCCCAGAAACAATAGAACAACTTGGTACAAGGAAAGCCCCTCCTTGTGCCGAGGATGTGGCTTTCTAATGGGACAGTCTCTGGCTTTCTCTTCAAAAAACCAATCATCATCATAAACCTTATTCCAGCAGGTGCACAGTGCACTGCTGCAACATGCTGTACACAACCAGGTCAGGAACAAATACATTTTATGACATTAAACATGGACCCTTTTCAGAATCATCACAGAGACCTCTAGATCCAACTCACCCTCATGTGAAATAGGCTAACTGGAGAAAGCTAAGTTATTTCTTCTCTCTGTGTACATCACATTTACATATATGCACAAGCATGTATACATCTGTGACAGAACTAGAGCTCATTTCTATATCCATCAGCAATTTAACAGTTAAATAATATTACAGAATTACATCTTTTAGTCATTCTGTCTCCAGTAAAAATTCTCCTCTTCCCTGTCCACCTACATACGTTCTCTACATGTAGCTTAGAGGATGAAAATACTATTTTACACATACATACCTAAATACATACAGACATATATAAAAGCATGTAAAAAATGACAGATCTAACTTCTAAGGAACTATGTGCATTCTTACAAAGAGTTTGGGCTTTTAACACTGACAACTCAAAAAGCCAAAGATTTTAAGGAACTATGTCTCCAGATTTTGGTCTTTCATTTTCCTCTCCATCCAGCACTACTACTACTACTAATGTCCTGGTTTGCATACCAGGGAAGTGGTAGGCACTATATACACATCCATGCAAGTTGTCAAAAACACAGAAAAGCATTATAGGCTCCACCTATCTGAAAATTCAGTGTTTCACCATGTTTTCCTGTACCTGAGCATTTATCCTGATGAACCATTCATGTAGCTGTGATTCCTTTAGCAGCATTGGAACAAATAAAACAAGCAATTGCAATCTTTGTTATATCAATGTATTGTTCAGTCTGACACTGCTTTAATTACAGGATAATTAGCAAAGATTGATTTGGGTTTTCTTCTTTCATGCGTATCAGAATTGTGAGTGCCTTAATATGTCAAGCAGGACTATTTCATTTTAACATATTTGCTGTTAAGATAGCATCAGAAGACATGCAGCTTGCTTTCACTCAAGGCTCATGAAACAACACTGCTATATCATGCATGAAAAGTTAACAACCAATACTGTAATATACCTTAGATAAATATCCCAGCTAGTCAAGCACTCCACAGAAAGAAACTCTCCAGACTACTCTGAAGGAAACCAATCACTGAATGTCAAGCATTCTCTCCCAGCTGGGTCTGGGCAGAGCACAGGTGATATGTCTCAGGGGATGGGCTCCTTAGGCAGACCTCTTTCAGCTGTGGAAAGGCAGGAGTGGTACCTGGGTTCAAATGCCTGGGAAAGGCCTGGACACTGGAATCACCCACCTCCAGCCACCCCAGCTAATGCTTCATACTCTGTAGTTTCCCACTGAATATGTGATTCTTCAGGTCTACAAGTTCATCTCGTAAATTCTAGAGCTACAACATACAAAACACCTAAGAATGTTGCTTCGCAGTAAGTTCCTGTACATAGACATTCACTATTCAAAAGTAAAAAGCAATTAAAAATCACTGAGAAAACTGCAAGCATCCTCAAGATGTTCTCTGTCTCTGCCATTGGAAACTGTTGTTGTCTACCTGTGTCCTGGAGAACTCAGATCAGGAAGCCATCCTCTTCATTAGGAATTAGCAAGGCTCCCCTATTTGAGCAGGTGAACATGGTCCACATAATAGGACATCTTTCCCAATACAGCTGCTCAGATATGTCCCCACGCAGCTTTTGTATCAGCCCCAGGAGCTTGTCCCTCCCAGGTGGTTCTTCCCTGACAAAGCAAGCTCTTCCTATGAGCCAGCCTCTTGCTTAGGGAAATCAATAGGACACGTGACACTTTTCTTCACTAGCACTGAGCCACCAGTCCTTAGAAATCCCTATTTACCCAGGAACTTCAGTGCATTTCCAAATGCACTTCTGCACAGCATTATTTTTATACATTTCAGATAAAAATAAAGAAGACAGACTTGGTTTTTACTCACTCTTAGTTTTTTCTGATGAACATTTTACAGCTGTGTCTTGCAGGGCAACCTCTGGCTGAGAACAATGGGGATTCCACCTCTAATCTTCTCCAGTGCTGACAGCAACAGTGAGTCTCTGTACCACGGTATGGTACTCTGCTCCTGCACAAGAAACATCATAAATGGAGCATCAGAGCAGACTTAGGAGTACAGAAATTTAACACCAGTGCTTTCTGCAGCATTCAGCTGCCTGTATCCATCTGGGCAAACCCACCCATTTCCTCCTGAGGTTTTCACGCCCGCTTCCCACTATAAACAAAACAAGTTCAAACCATGGCTCTCCAGTCTGGTTCCCAGCTAATTAATCTCTGAAAAATCAATGCAGTGAGAGCAGAGAGACCTTTGTACCTTCCCAGAAATCAGGCAACAAATCAGGAAAATCAGGAAGATTACTTGTCCTGCTTCTCTCTCTAGTACCTTCCCCATCACATCTCACTGTCACCCTAGCCCAGGTATCCCATTTCAACCATGGTACCTAGGTGGACATAAGCAAGTAAATTCTTCTCTGGCTGTGGGAACTTACTAGGTGCATTCATTAAGGTTTCCATTTTCGCCCTGTAATGTCTCTCTTATTCTCTTTACACAAATACTCCTACTAGCTCCCCATTCTTTCTGGTTTTCCAGGTTTGTTGCTGTAACTGTTGTTACATCCTTTCTGAAGCTAGCATATCCCCTCTAAACTCCAGATAGACTACCTTGTTAGCAGTATTTGTGAGCAGATGAAAGACTTACAGGCCTGCACTGCCCAAAAAGGCAGGTCTCTACTACTCCCGGGTCATAAATTCAACTCTTGAGGCACACAGAAGTGGAGGGGACGGGGACTCATGGTGGTTTCCTTTCCAAAGGTAAAATGTCAGCCCTGTACACCTGTAGAGAAACAAGTTACGGAAGCTTCCCCAGGGCACAGAGGCAGAGCAGCTGCCACTTTAACAAGGCAGAGATGGACCTTTACTCTCCTCCCAAAATCCCTGACAGAAGCAAAGGATCTGCCAGAGCCTGGGCTGCTGGTAAAACAGAGCAAGCCATAGAAGTAAACAATGTGCTGAATGATCACCTATCACCAGTGTCACTACTTGTTCAGCAGTGTTGCAAGTCCTTTGTCCTGCTTGAACTTTTGAGAGCTTCAGACAGAAAACTGCTAAGAATAAATAATCTCTCTTGATCTCTGAAGCAGAAATCATTGCTGAAATGCCAGTTCAGTGACTTCAATTAGAAAATGCTGTTGGAAGACCTTACCATCCCTCTTTCATACTAATTAACATCTCAGCATAACTCAGCTGCTTTTCTTATCCTTTTTCCTAATGCATTCAGATCAGCAGATGTGTTTATGTAGGAAAAAAAAACGATAACACAGAAAGACACTGGAAAACTGACCACTGGTTATGTCTGTGACTTGACCTTTTGGTACTGTTTTGCTGACTATGTTCTCAATGACAGTGTCATTGCTTGAAAATACACGTGTTTCATTTTAATTAGAAATTCAACTGAAATATAGAAAAGAGAACAAAACAAAACCATCTACCCAACTTGTATCTAAACTGCAGGTAGACTATTAATATGTCACGTTCAAGATGAGGTGCAAAAAGACATAGCCTAAAGTTAGAATTACTGAAATGGAGATCAGAGAGAGATCTCCAGAGCTCATCTAATCAATTCTTACAGCTTGAACGAATTTACACACTACTTCTACTTAGGAACACATGAAGTACCCTGAAAACAGGTTCTCAGGTCCCAGAGAGCATACAAGGAACACAGGTTATGTGTGATTACAATTGCATTTGGGAACTGGAAAAATAATAGGTTCCTTTTTAGAAAAAACCCACAAACAAACCAGAGAGAAATCCTGAATTATCAGGAATCTGAGTGGCAAGAAGAATGACTGTTTTCCAAATGATCCAAAATACAGAACTGCTGCTGACAGCTTGGAAAAGGGGAAAAAAAAAAAAGCAGAGGTGATGGGACAGAAAAATGCCAGCTTGACATCTCCATGTCCATAAGACTCTACTGGAAAGAAAGACAGGTATTTCTGGCCTATAGAGAAGATATGTTGGGGGTGCACAGCAACAAAAAGAAGTCTTCAGCACAGAGACAGAAGTTGAGCTGATGTTGTCTCAAGGTAACCTCACCCACAAGGCTCAGAATACAAACACAAACAACCAAGGGCACAACCACAGACAGCAACTGCAAAATGCTGGATGGGAAGGATCCTCCAAACAAATCACTGTGGAGGCACAAGAACCCAAAGAGGACATAATCAGAGAACAAAAGCATGGGCAGAATTTCAAGAACAACACTGGGGACAAGAGACAGCTGTCAGCTAAAGTGAGGCTGAGGAGGCAGAGCAACCTGTAAACCTTGATGAGGAAGACATCAGTAAAGATGCTGCCCAGAATGAAATGTGCAAATCTGGACTGGAAAAGGCACGGGTGCATTAGAAAGAAGCACTCCACCAACAGCTACTGACAGCATGTTGAGCAACAAGAGAGAGAGTTGCAGAGGGTACCTAGAAGTGCAAATGTTAACTGGTGATGGCCTGTCCTTTTTTCAAGTTGGAAGAGATTCAAGTCAGCTTACGTTGGTATCAAAACCACAGGAACAAGAAGTGAGGGTAGACACTAAGCAAAGAAATGAAAAAGCAGTGGAATGATTAAGATTGAGCAGGGCAAGCAGAGGGATTAGCAAAAGAAGGCAGGCAAAGAACTTCTGCCTTTGCTAGAGAACAGACAGCTTGTAAGAAGGGAGAGCACAAGCAGTGAAAAAACATCTTTTGTCAGTCTTCTCTTCAAAGCCATTGTTGAGTTTCTGCACAGAGAGAGAACTGGAGGGAAGAAAAACAGGGAACCCCCCAACAACAAACCCAAGCTGGCAAAAACCTCACTGGGGCTGCAGAGAGGGACTGCAGAGAGGGACAGCAGTTAAGATGAAAGGACCCATGGCTACCAGAACCATGGGAAACTAGCCTTGAACTGAACCCCGTGTCAGCACAAAGCACAGGAATGACAGAGTGATTCTTGTATTCCTCCACCAACGAGATACAGGACACAGCAGAAGAAAATACATACTCTTGAGTATTCTTAAATGAAGGCTGGAATGATGCTTGGTATACAGTAAAGAACCAAACACACCCCCAAAGTGTCAACTGTATAAATTATGTTCCTTTGATGCGTGCACAGCCTTGTTCACAAGTTGTTACAAAATGCTAGGTTTTAAGTTCCTGCCCTCATACGGCTTCTGGGAAACCTGAACATTTCACTCAACAAAGATTTATCCAACATAATGAGAGCTAAAGGATGCAGAAATCATTTGGCAGACTGCGCTACTAGATGTACTGTTCAGGCACTTCCCACTTTTCCCCAGGTTCACTGCTTTAAGGACAAGAGTATCTCTAAAAATCAGTAAGAGATACACTAGAAAAGTTTTAAAATTGGGGATTATTGAGAAATTTCCAGATACTAAAATTGAATAGAATAAGTTTACTTCAGGGAAAAATATATAGGAAGTCTACTGTGTTCTCCCCCTTGGAAGAAAAAAATCCTCCTTTACAGAGTGACCAAATCACTTTTCTGCTTCATGAAAATTCTGCTTATATTTACATTGCTTTTTCTTCCTTGGAAAGTTAGACAAGGCAATAGTCCATCTGACAAGACAAAAGATACAATGGCATGGTTCCAGGAAGTATAACACAGAATTGATTCAGCCTCATTGCATTTGCTTTCTGAAAACAATCCAGGCCATACTTAAGTAAATATTTATATTCAATTACTACATCCTTATAAACTGCCAGATTTGCTTAGTGTCCATGATTCAAGAAACATGCAGGTATTTCCCAGAATGCACGGCAGTCCAGTCAGGAGGAGGTATTTCTAATTTTCATTAGGAGGGAAAAGATTTACATCCTTCTGTCTTTTGCATCAGCCATGCAAGTCTCTGTTAAGGAAGTTTAATAAAATTTTTTTTCCTCCTCCACATTTTTGATGCATGCATTAATCAATTACAAAACAACACTGTAATTGTGACATATAAGGGCGCCAATTCTAATTGCTGGAGATCAACAACAAAATTTTAATTGGCCACAGTAAGACAAGAATTTGAATTTAAGAAAGCATGACTAAAACACTAATACAGCTGCCCTCATCTTTGAACTGTTCCTACAAGTGTCAAGCATTCCACTTGAGATTAAATATCACATGCATCTGATGTACAGAGTTCATTTGTATGCTGTATGCCCATAGAAAAACATACAAACTAAGCTGTACAAATCCATTTTTAGCACAAAACATTACTTGTGGTGACTCCTAAATATATTTTATGAGCTTAGATATCAATCATTATATTAAATAAGAGCAGGACTAGGACTGTTCCTCTACAGAACCACCAGTTAAATACATTCATCTACCTACATTCAGTTAATGAAATGCAAAGCATCTATTTCACTGTCTTTGAAGTATAAATATGTTGAGCTCCACCATTCACCTGGTATACCTGACCAAGTGTACGTGATGCTGGAAAATACAATGAGTTATAAAGCAAGACTGGTAAGACTAGACAATCATAGAATAGTTATGGTTGGAAAGGACCTTAAGATCATCAAGTTCCAACAATGTTGATACTGATCCCATAACTCTTATTTAGCTTTCAATCTTCTAAATCTAGAGGACACAGATACGGTTTATGCTTAACAACTGATCTGTCAACACGACATCATCTTAGAAAATCAGCTGTTCACAGAAAGGTGATCCACTTTTCCTTAGTAATGAGGTTGAATAAGGTAGAGAGTCTACTCTTCACAAACAATCATCATCATAGAACAAATCTTGGATTGGAAAGCCCACCTAAACCTCTCTTGAAACATGTTTGTTTTACCTGCTAATGGCCAGAAATTTTTGGTCTGCCATTCTATAGAAACAGAAAATGAGCAGTGCTCTGAATAAAAGGACAATCAATCTTACTTAGAAGTGAGTTGCAATTAAAGCCTTCCACACAGTGGCCACAAAAAAACAGACAGAAAATATATGCAGCAGCGATTTAAACAGATGTTCTATTTTCTTTGAGACACCTTTGTAAGTCCAACCCGATGCACTGGGGACACATCCATCTCTGAG